CTTAGCTCACTGCAACCTCTGCCTCCTGAGGTCAAGCAATTCTCCTGCCTTGGCCTCCCGAGTAGCTGGGATTACAGGCATGCACCACCACGCCCAGCTAATTTTTGTATTTTTAATAGATACTGGGTTTCGCCATGTTGGCCAGGCTAGTCTTGAACTCCTGACCTCAGGTAATCCACCTGCCTCAGCCTCCCAAAGTGCTGGGATTACAGGCATGAGCCACTGTGCCCAGCCACAGGAGGGAATTAGTTCAACCAAACCAATGTTAGAGACACAAGGCAAGTCACACTTCTCCGAATTGTCCCCTGGGGTAGGACCTTGGAGACTCAGCAGCCTTGCCTTCATCCTAGCCTCTCTCTGGGGTGGAGGATAAAGGTAGGGGCTCGTGAGGTGGGCTGAGCCACGTTCTCATGCTCTGCTGCTGTTTTGCAGGTCGAGGCCGAAGCCGTGAATCGTGCCATCACCATCGCCAACCAGACCAACTGCCCCCTGTATATCACCAAGGTGATGAGCAAAAGCTCTGCCGAGGTCATCGCCCAGGCACGGAAGAAGGGTGAGTGCTGTGGCCGTACTGGCTGATGGCAGGCAGGCAGGTTTGGAGGGGAGGGGGGCTCTTCACTGGGGAGGGCTCCTTTTCCAGACCCTCGTGCCAAGTGGGCCACTTGCACCATGTTCCGGCATTAACCTAATTACAGCCGGGCAAGGCAGGAGCTCCAGTTTCCTCCTCTGCTCCACTGCTGCGGCCTTGTTAGTATCTATTTAAAGCCGTGTGCACGCCAAGGCGGGGTGGGCAGGCACATGTCCCCCAGCCCCCGTGGAAGAGCTGGACTTACTTTGATGTGGTTGAAATAAACTAGGCATATACACAGATGACGTCAGTTTCCATCCACCCCACAATCCTTGGTCGCATCATGCATCTCCCCTCCAAGGCTGGGAGTGGTTTCTGCCGGGGTATGTAAGGCAGCTTTGTGGGGTGTGGGGATGCATTTTGCCCCAGACACTATCACATCCAGATGTTTTGGTGCGTGATAAACTCTCTTGATGCATTCTGAACTGAGGCTGGGTCTCTGGTATTACTAGGGTGTCTATTGAGAAGGGTCCTGGAAACGAACTGATTAAGTGCAGCTTCCAGTGCTTCCTCCAGAGGACGCCCCCTGAGGCACCTCATGCATTATGAATGCATCTCAGCCCTGTTGTCACCCGCTGCTGACTGCATGAATTTCGATAATCACACTGCGTCTTTTATGCTTAGGAGTTCTCTCCTCGTACAGAAAGCCTGAGGGCATGTCATTCATTTTGATGGTGTATCTGAAATAAACATTATAAAAGGGTCCCCTTCTTCCTTCCTTCCTTTCTCCCTTTTATGTCCCCTCTTCCCCTTTGCCTGTTGGGATCTCTCCATCTCTGTGTCTTCACTTCTCTTCCCTCCTTTCCTGATTTCTGTTTCATTTTATCTTTCATTTGACTCTTTCTCAGTCCCTCTGTCATTCTCTCTGTGTGTCTTTCTTTCCGTGTTAGAAAGGTAGCCATTTGACCTCTATGGCTTGGTTTCTACTTCTCTGTATTATGTGATCCACATGGATCAAGGTGGGCTGTGGGAGTTTTTTCACTGGCGGGTGACTTGCTGCAAGCCCTGGAACAAATTACTCAATGATGACTGAGTCATCTTGTCCCAGAGATGATGACTTCCAGACGGACCCAGCGACTCCTGGCCCTCATTCTTTGGAGTGCTCCTGGGGCCTCTGTCCTTAGGCTGCACATCAAATGGTTGCCGCCTTTGTGTCTTCTCCTGGCACCTTGAAGGAATTGCCTTTTAGAAATAAGAAAGCATTCACCTAAAATAATGTAACTTACTGAGAATGAGCTTTGAGTTGTTTTCTAGGAGATTGTGGATGACGATGGAATCGGTGGCCCTGGGTCACCCTGACACGCGTTTGCAAGAAGGCAGTGCATTTGTGGGGATCAGCCGCTGTGCAGAAGGCCAGCCACAGCACCGCTGCCCCCACGTCGTGTGGGGGTGGGTGGCATAGTGTCTGAAAGGGGGAGAGAATGAGACGGCTTATTTTCTGTATTTTACCACTGCGCTCTACCTAGATGATGATGATACTTGAGTTAGGCTAACATTTCAACATGATTTTGGATAGAGGCCTTGTCTAAAGTTGACTCCATATTCAAACACGTACCTGTCCAGATGAGAAGAGAGAGGGGTCCTGCCTGTTCCAGACTTCAGTCGGGGAGGTGGAGTCGTCGGCCGTCCCTGCCGCAGGCCTCCTCCTCTCTGTCCTTCACAGTTCTTCTCACGTGGAGTTGCAGAGCTGCAGTGTGTTGTTGCAGTGCCCCGTTTGGACCTAGCACCCCAACTCAGTGCCCGGTAACCCCCTGTTTTATTTTAATTTTTAATTTTACTTTTGAGATGGAGTCTCTTTCACCCAGGCTGGAGTGCAGTGGTGCCATCTCAGCTCACTGCAATCTCCGCCTCCTGGAATCAAGCGATTCTCCCGCCTCAGCCTCCTTAGTAGCTGGGATTACAGGCCCCCACTACCACACCTGTCTAATTTTTATATTTTTAGTAGAAACGGGGTTTCACCATGTTGGCCAGGCTGGTCTGGAGCTCCTGACCTCAGGTGATCCACCCACCTCGGCCTCCCAAAATACTGGGATTACAGGCATGAGCCACTGCAACAGGGCACCCCTGTTGTCTTTATAACCTTGACACCCTGTGTGTCTTATGGGGTGAGCAGTGGGAGGGGACTTTAGTTTGTTCCCTTCCAGAGCCTTCTGAGTGAGAGTCCAGTGGTTCCCAGGATGGGGTTTGCATTCAAACTCTTACTCATTAATCCCTGAAAGCCTGAGCTTTAGACAAACCTGAGCTGCCAGAAAGGAATTTCCAGTGCATTCAGGTGCTAATGAGCAGGAATGAGAAGTCCTAGCTAACTTCCTAGGCTCTTAGGCTTTTTCCCATCTTGCTGGAACTTCCTAGCAACTTTGGGAGGCAGCCCTGGCAGGAATTTTTATATTTTGTTTTATTTTGCAGCTGAGTAAACTGAAGCTCAGAGTTCATGAATAGTGGAATTGGGGCTTGACTGTCAGGCATCTAACTTCAGGCCACAAATATCCGTGTTAATGTTTGACTGACTTCCCTTCAGGCTTTGAGATTATTTTAATATGGTGATGCTTGTGACCTGTGTCTGTTGGGGCTTAGTTCCTTAAGAATCCTGATTGAAATGGTGGCCTGACATCCAGCAGAGATATAGGTAATGGACACACAAGGATTCCCAAATGACCAAGAAGGAAAGCTCTGTAAGGGAGTATTAATTGTTTGCTCTCCAGGCTCAGTATTCATTCTTGGATCAAACCCCAACTTCACTGTACACCAGCCACGTGATGCTGGGTGCTTCCTTATCATTTCCACGTGTCTTTTCGCCATCCGCACGGGGAGGATAGTAACCATGACTCATCTCACAGGGTGATGATGATGTGTACATGAGATATGCAGGTAAAAATGGAGACGAGAAGCGTGACCAGTTATTGTGACTACAGGATGAAGGGTCTGGTCTAACCTTGAGCTTGCGAGGAAAGCAGAGCACAGATGGCTGCTAACCCTGGGCAAGGGTTTTCTGCTCAGAATTGTTAGTCCACTTCAGGTGGGTTTTTCTGGCCCTCTGAGGCGAGTGTGAGCACTGCCACAGCCCCCTTTCTGATGCTCCATTTCTTCCTCTGTGAATGGAGAAATTCTGAATTCATTCAATGAACTTTCATGATGTGATACTTCAGGCCCTGTGTTCCAGGAACAAGGAATTGTCCCAACCACAGTTAGCTCTTCCACTTGCAGGGGTAGGACGTTGAGCGGAAAGTCACGTTGGGAGGTGGTCAGGGCTACAAAAGGGGTACAAGTCAGGAGGAGTTGAGCCCAGAAGGGAGTCTCAGAGGGGTCAGGCTGCATAAGCAGACTTGAAATTTTTCTACAAATGTGAGCTTTGAAAAATGATAATCCTGCCCTGGGAGGAGGAGTAATGTCTCCTTCTCTTAGTGATCCACATGAACCTCCCCAGCCAAAGACCTGCTGGTCCAGAATCTAAGATAAGAGAAGTTCAGGGAAGTGAGGATATGAGATGAAACGACTGAGAACTGTTTTCACGTGCCTGCTTGAGCCAGCACCACTGTGTCCTGCCTTCCCTGAGAGACACGCTGCTTCCATCAGCCGCTCTGAGCCACTCCCCAGGATGGCGTGTCATCAACCCAATTTGGCAGCTGAGGCAGTGAACACAGAGCCAGGACCAGACGACCTGGGGGCATTTTCACTCTTGAAAAGAACTTAGTGGTCTAAGTTCTTAATAGGCTCTCATGGAAGAGAAGTAGAAATGCAGGAATTGAAAATCTTGCCCTAGATCATGCAGCCTGTGGGAATTAGAAACCATGATTCCAGGCCCCTGGCCACCTCTCTTTCCATGGAGGGCCCCCTGTGGGGATTTCTCCTCTAGAATGGGCTCCCTCTCCCTGTGACCACATTTTGTCCATGTGTGAAATCCAGCATGACTGCTGATGCCTTCCATGTGTGAGTGGTGGTCTGTGGGCAGTGCCTGATGACCTCATCTGGTGGATATTCTTTTCCATCCTCCTCCTCCTCACCCCACCCCCGTAACCCGGGTACAGAAACATTCAGGACATTAAACCCTGGGAACCTCAATTTGAGATAAGACCTCTTATGTCCTGCGGGTCAATAGGAGTGACTCAGGCATTATGAGAAGCACATGGTCATGGGGCCTGTGAGGACCACCTTCACTTGGGGATGAGTCCTTAGTTAAGCTTATGCTTGATGTTGCAATCTCGAACAGAAAAGGGGGCTGAGAGAGGAGAGAGGACAGTAGAGAAAGGGGGAAGATTTATTTTAAAGAATTATGTTTAAGGAATCAACTCACACGATTATGGGGATGGCAAGTCTGAAATCTGTAGATCAGGCCACAGACTGGAGACCCAGGGAAGAGCTGATATTGGCATTGGGGTCCAAAGGCAGAATTCCTTCCCAGTCTGTGCCCTCACTTTAACAGCAGATGCTCTGCAAGGTTGGGAATTCAGTTTGCGTTGTAATTCAGACACTGGCAGGATGAGATCCTACTTCTGATTTTCAGCCATCTCAGCTCTGCATGTGTAAGACATACGGGCAGACACAGAAACTTGTGATTCGTTCATGTGGTGCTTGAGCTGGGAATTTGAATCCCTGAATTCATTCTTTTTTTACCGCCCACTTTGTTTAGTACAATTAGGAGCAACCGACCACTCTCGTTGTACTTGTTAATTTGACAAAAATGTTTAAGGTATCGGCTACACAGTCACCTAGAACCTTCCCTCTTAGAAGCCTTTGTGAGTATTTAATAATATTTTCTGTATCTCTATTGTCCCATCATACCCTGTACTCTCCTGTTTTTACTACTGGAAGTAGACTCATTAGTGCCTTTAAATCCAATCAGATTTGAGAACGAATTTCAGAAACCTCAGAACCCATTCAGAAAACTCATTTTTAAGATGATGTTCCTCTAGAACCACTCTTGCTACGAAAACCTGACAGCACAGGCCCCAGGCTGTTTGTTAGGGTCTGGCATGAATTCTTGCAAAGGCGAAGGAGAATGATGAGAGCGTGTGTAACTGTCTGCCTGTCTGTCTGTCCATCCCAGTTGGTTTTCACTCTGCTTTAGTGGCTGCATATTGAGCTACAGATACTGGTTTTCCACAGTTCCCACTTTGGATTTGTTCTCCTGCTTCTTGTCCATGGGAAGTGACCGCCAGAGCTGGGAGCTGTCAAGCAGTTTTAAACCCCAGCCTTGCGTTTATTCTTCATGAATGCACACGGGCCCCAGACTGGTTGCAAATGAGCACTAGCTCCCATCCCCTGCAGTTCTTGGCCTTACTAGAGAGCCTGCCAGAGGCTGGCTTGGTCACATCCTTCAGTTTAGACTTTCCCTGAAGAAGAAAATCACGAAGGTCTAACGGGTGCCAAGAAAGCATCAGCAGCGTGTTTAGAGAAGTGCAGAAGGGCCAATTAAGCCTGTTCCGTGGTTTATTATTATTAGTGGTAATTATTTCTGGCGTGCAGTTCAAGGGTGTCTATGGCCTAGCTGAGCTCCGGAAGTGCATCCACAGCTCGCTGCTATGAATGTTTATAGACCCAGGAGAGGGGCCCTAGGTTGGGGGTTCCAGACAACCGGGGATGGGAGGCAGAGACTCCATGTATAGATCATACTCTTATGGACGTAGAGGCCTTGTACACGATGGCTAAACTCTTGTCCCGATTCTGGGCTAAGAAAGAAAGCCCAAAAGACAGCAAGGACCTCTGAATCCCTGAGGGAATTTGAACAGAGCAAAGTAGAAATGAGCCACAGGATGGCTCTGTCCCTCCCCTAGCATCCATAACCCTGTCCCTGCATGTCCCTATCTTTGCTTGGCTCTGGCCCAGAAGTCCACTTGGCCTTTGTCTAAGGAGGCAGGTTCTGCTCAGCAGTGGCATTGAAAGCTCAGACCCTGTTTTGGGTTTTCTCGAGGCTGAAGGCCAAGTTCATTCTCTTGAAGTGAGGTACATATTCCTGTGCACAGAGAGAAGGGGAATCCAGCTCCTCATAGAGCAGCTCCCCACACCAAGCTGAGTCGTGTTTCGCAGGGAGAGATAAGCCTGTGGTCAGCAGCATTCACCCCCATGGTATTCAGGCCACTTTCCAAGAACCAGCCCCTCCTTGTACTCGTTTCCAGAGGCAGGGCTGAGGAGCAGGCACAGGGAGAGGATGAGCGTCGGCAAGTTACAGGAAACTCAGGAAAATGTTTATGTGTGTCTAGGGATTTTCAGAGACCATCCAGCCATTCTTTATCTCCAAGTGCCTCTGCTCTCATGAACTTCTTCATGTTCATGAAGCAGGACAAAAGCAGGAAGCCTTTAGGGCCGCGCATCCCTTGTTTTCTTGTGACTTACACAGCTCTCACCTTTGTGCTTAGATGGACTATGGCCAGTGGGACCTCCAGGCCTGGCTGGGTCAGGAGAGTTTTGCTTTAACCAGATCTGTTTGATGCTTGAACCAAAAGCAGGGAGCCAGAGAGATCCTTTGAGAACTGATGACTGCTGCTGGGTCCTGCCCAGCCATTTGCATTTTATAAAGGTCTTTGGCAGCGGCCAAGGCCTTCTTATTATGTGTTGTTTTTCCACTTTGGGATGAACCGGAGTGGTTCGTGCAGCCACCCTGATAGCTCTTTGCACCAGCTTCTACATGGGAGGCTTTGAGCAGGCCAGGAGCCAAGGGGACCCTCCTAGGCCTTCCGAGCACCTAGCACTGGCCCTTTTCTTCCTCAGGGCTTCCTTCTGGAGGTTTCCCTGGGTTTGGAGTCCTCCCTCCTGCTGGGGGTGGGGGCGTGGTTGCTGGTGACCTGGAGTGAGCTGCCTGCTGTGGCCTCCAGCACTCCCCGGCTGAACAGCGAGTCCTTTGTGAAATTCCTGAGGCAGGAGGGGGCAGCTGTGCAGAGCCAGCTCTCAGAGTGGCCGACAGGGAGGGTGTTGTGGTGTATCATCAAGTGATAAGGCCTTCAGAAAGGCTGTGGAGAGGAAGGAAAACACATTCCTGACTGCGGTGTGTTTGCCCTTGAGGGCCTGTGTTTGGGGAAGTAGAGAAGCTTTGCTGCATTGTTGTGGGGTGGGAGTTAGCCCTATGCTGGGGGGAGCCAGTGAGAGATTAATTCAGCTGACCTGGGATCAAATTCCAGCTTAGATGCCTTTAATTAATAACATATTAGATCATTTAATCAATTTAACACACGTTTATGGAGTGCCGACTATGGGCAGGCAGGTAAATGATCTTCAAGATGTCTCCATCAGGTGGAAAGTCAAAAATTTAGAACTGGGTAATGACTGGAGGGGAGGATGGGATTCTCAGATGGAGGGTGTGATACCCGAGTTGTGTTTTGGACAATGTTAAAGGAGGAGATCAGCTTCCAGTAATGAAGAGCATCTGAGGCTTCGGTGAGGAGGATTTTCTTTTAAGTCCTTGAATGCAGAAGAGCTCCTTTGGAATATTTTATGCAAGAGAATGGCATGGAAAGATTATATTTTAGTAGATGACTCTGGAAGTGTCATGCAGAATGAATGGAGAGGTAGGGAACGGGGTTGGGAGAGCAAACATAAATCTAAGGTCCAATGGGGAGGCTCTGTTGGAATGAGCTGGGAGAGATGATGAGGGCCTGATTTAAGGAACGATTGTATTGAAGGCACTAAGGTATTGGCGTTCAGTAAATGTACATGAGTCTCAACTTTCTGGTTTACATCTGAATGGACAGAGAAGAGGACATGATCTGAGCATCAGGGAGTTGACATTTGTCTTGGATATTGCATTAATAGAGTTAGACTAGGCTTCCAGAAACTCTGAAATCCCAGTGGCATAATGTCCAGTTTGTTTCTCACAGAGTCGGCTGTGAAGCTGGTGGCTGTAACAGACGGCTTCTTCCAGGCAGTGACTCAGGGATCCAGGCTGTCTCTTGAGCACATCTGGGGATTTATGTATTTGCCCTGAAATACTTCAGCCTGGTGATGTCATGGGTGATTTCCTCCCACAGACCTTTAGTCAGAGATAGACACTGTGAGGGGCTAGGAATTGTGAAAAGATTGTGTGAATGAACAGGAAGGTTAAATTTGAGGTGCCATAGGCCATGCATAAAGAACAGTCCAGATGGCACCTGGGACTGGATGTTTGGACACCATCTGAGCAGGAGATTAATAGAATTGAAAATCAGCAGTGTAGGAGACAGAAGCCTTCAGGATGTCTGGGATCCTGTAGGGAGGGTGTATTTTTTGAAGAGCAGGGGCCAAATATGGAATCTTAGGGAGCTCATGTTTGTGGGTGACAGGCTGATGGAGGTACTGGATTTCCCCAAGTCTCAGTTTCCTCATCTGTGAGACGAGCCTGGTGTTTCCCATAAAGGGATAGTGAGAGCACTGGGTGCTGCTGGGCAGGCAGTGGCTCCTCACAGGGGTGGTTCCCTTCCCCCTACATTGTGTTGGACTGAACCTTGTGTGTTCTGTTTGTCAGGAACTGTGGTGTATGGCGAGCCCATCACCGCCAGCTTGGGAACGGATGGCTCCCATTACTGGAGCAAGAACTGGGCCAAGGCTGCCGCCTTTGTCACCTCCCCACCTTTGAGCCCTGATCCAACCACTCCAGACTTTCTCAACTCCTTGCTGTCCTGGTGAGTCCTGGCGACTTGTTCACACTTCACATTCTGTCTTTCTTGAGACCAGACCAACCCATTAGGTGAAAACAACATGGTGGCCGAGAGCAGCCATAAAACTGGGAGACCTTTGTTCACCAAACTAGATTGGCTACATGAGTACAGGGAATTGTCATTCTAGCACCATTTTGGGAGGGGATTCTGGATTAAAAACCTGGGCCATCTTGAAAGTCAAGCCAAGAAGGTGGAGGAGGCATCAGAAGGATTCCACTGTGGTTGGTGTGATGCCATTCATGGGACAGCCCACCAAATAGGTGTAGGCGCGCAGCATCCTGATGAAGCTGTGGCACCACGTTATGCGTTTTCTTTGCAGTGGAGACCTCCAGGTCACGGGCAGTGCCCATTGCACGTTTAACACTGCCCAGAAGGCTGTAGGAAAGGACAACTTCACCCTGATTCCGGAGGGCACCAATGGCACTGAGGAGCGGATGTCCGTCATCTGGGACAAGGCTGTGGTAAGAAGCGATGGCCTCACTCCTCGGTGGCTCTCAGCCTTCCTCGTCCTCCTCATCTGGGGGCCACGGGGCTCATGGAGGCCTTGAAATAACAGACAGTGGAGGACATCCTAGAAGCCAGTACTTATATGACAATATTTCTGAGGGTTGGAAATCTAAGACCTCTTCTAACAGGTGATTTCTTCCTAAATATTACATATGTATTTCTTTTTAAAACAATTTTAAAACTTTTTTCAGATAAGGTCTTGCTCTGTCACGCAGGCTGGAGTACAGTGGTCCAATCATAGCTCACTGCAGCCTCCAACTCCTGGGCTCAGGTTATCCTCCCACCTCAGTCTCCTGAGTAGCTAGGACCACAGGCACACACCACCATGCCTGGCTAATTCTTTGTGTGCGTGTGTAGATGGGGGTCTCACTATGTTGCCCAGGCTGGTCTCGAGTTCCCGGGTTTAAGCAATGCCTCAGCCTCCCGAAGTGCTGGGATTACAGATGTGAGCCATCACACCTGGCCTACCTATGTATTTCTTATCATTATCATCAATGGAGCAGTAAAGACTGAAAACCTACACAGCTTTAGATGTGACTCTAGGTCAATCAGGAACAAAATTCCTTAGCAACCAGGTGACTTTTTCAGTTAATCCTCTTCTACTCTTGGAAATGGGCTCAATTTCCTTAAAAGTGTCTTTTAGGGCCCTCTGGACTTAGCATATCTTCTACTGCCAGCTTCCAGTAGGCCTGCTATGAACATACACTGACTTAGAGGATCTTTGGGCTTTTTCATTTTAATGTTTTAAAACATATTAACAGAATAGGTTTTCTGGTTTTTAGTGAATTTTTTAGATTATATGAAGAACATATCCTTATTCCAAGAGGAATAAGGAAATAAATAAAAGTCGCCATGTTTCAGATAAAACGACAGCATTTTGGCATATGTCTTTCCATTTTTTTGCTACTACACAAGTGCACATGTGTATATGCGATATGTGTGAGTATGTAGATAATATTGGCATCATACAGCTGGGCCCACTCCCAGGCTCACACCTGTAATCCCAGCACTTTAGGAGGCCGAGGTGGGTGGATCAGTTAAGCCCAGGAGTTCAAGACCAGTCTGGGCAACATGGCAAAACCCTGTCTTTACTAAAAATACAAAAATTAGCCAGGCATGGTGGCGTGTGCCTGTAGTCCCAGCTACTCGGTGGGTGGAGGCAGGAGGATCACCTGAGCCTTGGGAGGCTGAGGCTGCAGTGAGCCACGATCGGACCACTGCACTGCAAACTGGGCGACATAGTGAGACCCTGTCTCAAAAAAAAAAATAATAACAATAATATTGGCATCATACATACTATTTTGTAGTCTGTTTTTTTAAAAAATTAATTTATCTTGGAAATATCTCCACCTGCTTCAATATACTTGAAAAAGTTGATTTACAGTAACAGACTTTTCCATGTGAATGCTAAACTGGGACTCATTTATTTATTTTTTGAGATGGAGTCTCACTCTGCAGTGGTGCAATCTCAGCTCACTGCAACCTCCACCTCCCGGGTTCAAGTGATTCTCCTGCCTCAGCCCCCTTACATGCGTGTGCCACCACACCCAGCTGATTTTTGTATTTTTAGTAGAGATGGGGTTTCGCCATGTTGGCCAGGCTGGTCTCAAACTCCTGACCTCAGGTAATCCACCTGCCTTGACCTCCCAAAGTGCTGGGATTACAGGCATGAGCCACCATGCCCGGCCAGGACTCATTTATAATTCTTTTTTTTGGCGGGGAGAGACAGAGTTTCACTGTCTCCCCACAGGCTGGAGTGCAGTGGCACGACCTTGGCTCACTGCAACGTCTGCCTCCCGGGTTCATGCAATTCTCTTGCTTCAGCCTCCTGAGTAGCTGGGATTACAGGCGCCTGCCACCACGCCTGGCTAATTTTGCTATTTTTAGTAGAGATGGGGTTTCGCCATGTTGGCCAGGCTGGTCTCAAACTCCTGACCTCAGGTGATCCACCCACCTTGGCCTCCCAAAGTACTGGGATTACAGGTGTGAGCCACCATGTCCAGCCACATTTATGTCTTTGGTTGAGCATTTCTGTTGTTTCTGATTTTTTTTTTCTTAACTGTAATGACATTTTTATAGACACATTCTTGATTATGTTTGTAGGAGAAATTTCTACAAGTGGCATTGCTGGGTCAAAGGACGTATATATTTTTAACAGTTTTGATACATATTGTCAAAGTTCCTTCCAGAAAGTTTGTACTGCTTTATATGCCACCACCAATATATGTCACTCCCCAGTGTCTACCAGCTGGGTGTTGTCAGCAAAAATCCATTGTTTGCCGATTTGATAGGTGAATTTTGTGTCTCATTGTTTTACATTTAATGTATTCAGTTACTGATTAGAGTGAAAATTTTTTCCTATGCTTATTGGCCATTTGTACTTTTTTCTCCCTCTTAATGCCAGTTCATTTCCTTTGCCCAGTTTTTTACTGGATTTAGAGTGGGTTTGGGAGGGGAAGCACTTGAGGCAATGTGATTGGCACCTAAAACCAGACACGGGGCTGAGACTTCTCGGTTGGCTAGACTAGAAGATGGCATCTGGCCAGGCGTGGTGCCCCATGCCTGAAATCCCAGCACTTTGGGAGAGCGAGGTGGGAGGGTTGCTTGAGGCCGGGACTTCGAGCCCAGCTGGGCACCATAGTGAGATCCTGTCTCTTAAAAAAAAGAAAAATTAGCCTGGTACGGTAGTGCATGCCTGTCTTCCCAGCTACTCGAGAGGCTGACACAGGAGGATTGCTTGAGCCTGAGAGGCTGAGGCTGCAGTGAGCTGGAATCACTCTACTGCATTCTAACCTCAATGACAGCAAGATCCTGTCTCAAAAAAAGAGAGAAAAAAAGGAAGCCTTGATCTGTGGCTGCATTTTGTTGAAAAGAACAGCCAATTGGGCCAAATGATACTTCCTTAAGAGGTATTGCCACCCCTGCAAATTAAATGAAATTTTTTTTGTTTTGAAATAATTATAGATTAAGAAGTTGCAAAGATAGTACAAAGAGGTCCTGGGTACCCTTCACCCAGTTTCCCTCATGGTTACATCTTATGTGAATGTAGTACAATATCAAAACCAAGACACTGACAGTGTCACAATGTGTGGGTATAGCTCTAGGCTATGTGGCCACCTGTGGAGTCATGTGACCACCACCACACTCAAGATGCAGGTCTAGTCCAGCATTTCAGAGACCAACCTCTTGCTGCTCCTCCCCTCCACCATCCCTAACCCTGGAAGAACTCATCTAGTCCCTCATCTGTTCTCCATCTCTCCAATTTTGTTATTTGGAGAACATTATGGAAATGGAGTCATACAGTGTGTGACCTTTGAGATGGTTTGTGTTTCACTTGGCACAATGCTCTTGACATCCATCTAAGCTGTTGTGTGTATCAGTAGTTTGTTATTGAAAAGTAACTTTTTAACTCGTGTCTGCTGTGTGCCTCCTGTGCACACCTGTGCTGTCTCCCTCAGGTCACTGGGAAGATGGATGAGAACCAGTTTGTGGCTGTGACCAGCACCAATGCAGCCAAAGTCTTCAACCTTTACCCCCGGAAAGGCCGCATTGCTGTGGGATCCGATGCTGACCTGGTCATCTGGGACCCGGACAGTGTTAAAACCATCTCTGCCAAGACGCACAACAGCGTAAGACCTGTTCACTGTGCAGGCCCCATCCAAACGAATTACAGTCACAGAGACACGGACGGACGGAGAGCCCCAGCGTTTCTAAAAAGAACTTGGCTGTGATGGGAATGCGCTTTTCCTGAGGATGTAACGATTTGCAGTTTGCTGGGAAAGGAATAGTTATTTCCTTTTCTTTAGTGAGGTCAATAAGACCGTTACTCTCATAATCATTTTGGAATACCACAGCCTCTCTATCTGTAGACCTTTAGAGCCTCTAAAGTGATGTCAAAGTGCAAAGTTTCTAGAAGTCAGGCACCGCTCCATTTTCATAGTTTGGTGCGGCACCTCTCATGGCAGTACTTGGTGCAAGGGACCTCAGTGAAACAGTGAGATGTCCTCTCCTGAGATGCTCACTGGGGACTTTGATCCTCTTAAGCCATTGTTTTCTCAGGCCAGTGTCCATGCGGAAAACTGGATGACAGCCGTTCTTATTATCTTAGAGGAATTGATTGACTGACTTCTCCCTAGTAGAAGTACCCCCCAGCCATCTGATTGTTGTTTGAGGATCTGCAGCTTTGGGTATCGCTACCCTCTGGGTCTGGGCTGCAGAGCTTGTGGAGATGTCCTCTCTTGTTAACAGGACCCACGGCAAGTATGTTAATGTCTTAGGCTCCTCAGCTGAGAGTGAGGGATTCAGACGAGGTCTCCAAGTGTCCTGTGATTCTGTGAGGTTAGCAGACATTAAGCAGAGGTGTTAGACACTGAGGAGTCCTCACAAGCAATATGGTATAGGCAGAAAAACTGAAGGAATATGCACAGAGGGAGAGCTTTGGAAAAGAAATGGGCCTCAGGCAGAAGCGTTTCATGTCAGGAACTCATTTGAATCTCGAAGACAGCTCAGGCCAGCGAGCACTGACACCTCCCCCACATGTCATGACAACTCAGGGCAGGTTTCTGGCATTTCTCCAGAACAGCTCTAGGACTTTGTCCTGTCCCAATCCTCTCTCATTTGCACGCACAGAGGTGTTTGGGCTGCAGTGAGCTCAGGCTCAGCTCTGGCTTCTGCTGCCACCTGTGAGGACCAGGACGGTGGGTGCTTCTCAGAAGACTGTTCGAGTCTGTGTTTAAAGCTGACTTTCTCCCTCCCACACCACTCACTGGCTCAGCCTGGCAGCACAGCCTTAGGGGCACACCCTCTTACAGCTCAGATCATGATTTCTTGGGTGTCCTGACTGGCTATTTTATGGTCAGGGGTCCTAGGGTCCCGCCCCATGAACCCCCCTATTCGTGTGCCTGTAACTTCACATTCTCACTGACTCTTTCATTTGACCTCAATAAAGGGACTGGTATTATTATCCCAATTTGGGAAAATAAATAAACGGAGGCTTAGAGAGCTTAAGTGACCAGTCTAATGTTACATAGCGATTTTGCGGTTGAGCCAGAATTAGAACCCAAAATTGTTCAGGACTCTTCCCTGCCAGACTGCATATGCAGCCTCTTGGTCAGACTTAGATGGGGAAAATGCTTCCCCTTTCTTGGAAGGTTGCTTCCCCCAGAGGTGCTATAAATGACTGACAGGGCTCGTTAAGACACAAATGACCTAGCTGGGGAGCTTGCATTTGGAGTTCTTAACCTAGAAGAAGAGACAGTGGGAAGGAGTGAAGATTTGGGAAGACAGATTCTGCCCTCCAGACATTTTCACCCCAAGCTACCCTGCTTTTACCTCCAGGTGACCAATGGGAGAAATGTTGACTTTCAAAGTGGTGCTCTTCCATCCTCACCTGTTTTAAAGAGCCAGCGCTAAACATGTCTGTTCATTGATCTTCTGGGGAAATGCAACTAGGAGACTTTCCCTGCATAGTACAGTGTTTCCTACCATGAGGCTAATTAGCTTTAATTCGGAGCATATAGCTAACTATTATCGACAGCCCTGTTGCTAAGCCTTTGCTTGGATTTTCCAGGCATCTGGCCCAATGAGTAATTTTAGGTAGCCTGTGTGGAGGTAGGTTAAAAATGTCTATGCATGGTGAGTGAGGAAGCCTCCCTGCATCATGGTTTGATGGAGAGTAGGCTCTGAGTATCTGGGAATTGTGATCTGACCCTTGGACTTGTCAATGTTAAGTCACTGAGAGTCATGGGGCTGGTTCCTCCATCTTTTAAAGATGAGAGATGGCTCCAGAGGTCTTCTAGGTGCTCATCTATAAGCAACAAGACTCAACACATGCATTGTATGAGATCTTGGATGCTGCAGGGCTGGCAAGTGTTAGCAAAGTGCAGTAAAAAGCCAGATAGTGAATGAGTGAAGATTTTCTAAATACCTGCTGTGAACCAAGTAGTGAGCTAGGTGCTTTTGTTCTTTTTATTTCATTTGATTCTCACATCAGTACTGCAAAGGGGGCCCTACTTACCCCTCACAGATGAGGAGGTGGAGGCTTAGGGGTGTGAGGGATGCGTTCAAAGTCACATAGCTGGTGAATGGCATACCCGGGGTGTGAACCTAGGGCAGATGTCTCCATGGCCGAGGCTGTGCCCATACTCTACCCAGTAGGGCACAAGAGGAGGTTGTCAGGGCATAAACTGTTAGCTGTGGAGTGATGTGGAAGAGATGGCTCTTGATCCAGGCCTTAAAGGATGACTCACACCCTTTCAAAGGTTGTTTCTGAGACGACCAGGGATGAGGCTTTTTGTATTGTCATCTTCACATACGCCTTGGGAGGGTGGCAGATGAAGAAACTGAAGCTGAGGCAGGATTAAAGCGATCTCCCCAGAGTCACACAACTTCTGGATTTTACTGTATCTGAGATGCCATCGATTTTAAGATATTCCATTAGGTTATGTACCATGATGAAGGAAAACATACCCAAGACAAGGAGTCTCATGGGAGACTGGGCCACCAAGGACCACCATGTGCTTATTACGGCATCTCTGGGGAGTGCATCTGCTGTGCAGACAGGGTGGCAGGAAATCTCGCAGGACTCGACCTTGGCATTGGTTGCCAAGAGGGAAAAATGTCTGCCCCAAGAATTGGAACTGAAAGTGGGTGCTCGTCCAGCCTTGTGGTCTGAATGTGTGCTGCCTGTGTGGTCCAGAACAACGTCAAGCTGAGAATTTACTGTAAAATGCCCTCAGTGGGGTTGTCCTCCAACGCAGTGGCACAAGCAAACCCATATTCCCCTAGAAGAACTTGGCTTTAGTCTAGGCCGGCAGTGCCTGCGTGGCTCTGGCTGCTGTAAGACACATTCTGACTTCAGGGATGAGTGTCTTAGAATTGACGAAAGACAATTTTAAGTCTTGGGTCTCGGGAATCCAAGTGCAGAGTCCTCTTCCCTCCCTGCTGGCGCCTCTCTGCTACGGTTCCTTTGGTAGCTTCTGCATGACTGCTTTGAGACTCAGAGCAGTGTCCTAACAGCTCTGGTGGTTGTTTTCACCCAACATTGTATGCGGGGCATTGTGCATTTCCATGCTCCATGTGAGCTGCTGAGCCGGCCGAATCCGTGTTACCAGCCGCTGCACTAAGCAGAAATGTCATCTTGAACTGCAGGGGGCTAGCACAGCTTTCTGTTCAGAGGCCAGCTCCCTGAATGCTGATAACCTGGTCTGAACTTTCCCAGAAGCCCAGGGTGCTCTTTATGGTTGGAGCCACCTATTAATCCTCCAGTCCAGACTCAGCCACAGCCATTGGTCCCCGTGAACCAAACAGGCAGGAAGAAGCGGGAGGCATTTGGGATCTGGGAAGTAGCACTGGGTTAGGCGAAGCTGCAGGATGGAGTTTTCGATGTCAGGGTGCAATGACTCCTGTTTTCTGTTGCTTCATTACCAACCAGAAATTCACAGCCATGTGGAGACCCCACCTATTTTCCAAGAGGGCACACAGATGTGTCTCTGTTTTACCCTGAAAAACTTGAAACCAGAAGGATAGCTACATAGCTACATTGTTCTGGAAATTAACTAGCCCTCAATCATTTTATCGGAGGCATGTCTCTTCAGTGACCACAGTCCTTTCATTTAGGGACTTCAGTTTAACCACACCGCAAACAGACTGGAAAACCAGGCTAGCCAGTGGGAAAACCTACTTGTGGATGGCTCATTTCAAGATTAAATTTAGAACTTGGTCAGAGAAGGCCTTTGGAATTCAATCAGAATGGAGCTGGAGATGGTGGGAACACAGTCCCTGTTAATAGGAGGAATCATTTTCTTTATATTTGTGTAGCATTTACAAACAAGCACCCTTTCCACACAATTACTCTGTTTAATTATCTTTCTTTCTAATGTGGAGAGGTAGGAAAATTCTTTCATATTCTAGACAGGGAAATGGAGACACACCCTGCTTGGGTGCCCAGTTGGGACAGGATCCCCGTCTCTGAGTCTCTCTTTTGTCTTTGTGGGGTTGGGGCAGTGGGTGCCCCACTGCTGGGTGGATTGAGTCCAGCCAGAGTGGCCTGTTCTAGAGTTTACTGTGCTCTCTTCCCAGTCTCTTGAGTACAACATCTTTGAAGGCATGGAGTGCCGCGGCTCCCCGCTGGTGGTCATCAGCCAGGGGAAGATTGTCCTGGAGGACGGCACCCTGCATGTCACCGAAGGCTCTGGACGCTACATTCCCCGGAAGCCCTTCCCTGATTTTGTTTACAAGCGTATCAAGGCAAGAAGCAGGGTGAGTGGTTTTGTTCTGATGAATTTTTTGTTAAACCATGAATTAAGTTCAAGGCCACAAACATTTATTGAGCACCTTGAGACAGAATATTAAGATGAATACAGTGGATTCCAGGGATAAGAGGGAGCCTGAATTTTTTATTCCTGGCATTTAAAATACTGGAGAAGGAGTCAGGCATGTCCACAGACAGCTCTAGCAAAGTAAGATCATGGTATATGCTACGATGAGGAGTGTGGAGTGAGGACCCAGAGGAGGGAGCCACTGCCGTAGTCAGGGAGAGTGTCATGGGGAGAGGACATTTTGAGTTGGGCTTTGAAGGTTAAGTAGGAGTTTTGTCAAGTCAAAGAAGGGAGACGAGGGAATTTGATAAGAGAGTCATGAGTATAGACAATGCACAGTGTATTCAGGGCATGTGAAGCAGGAAAGAGATGGAGCTATAAGGGAATTAAAGGGAGAATGCAATTGGAAAGAAAGTTTGGGGCCAGATCTTGAACATGATACCAGATCCCCCTCACAGCATGTTTAGGGGATTCTCACAGGGTTTAAATTGAAGTGCCTTTGGGGGGAAAATGGTAAGGTGTGTTAGTTTTTGTAGAGTTAACCAGTTACTGGACCTTGTGGGGATTTTTGGCCTGGCATTGTGGGAGCTGGCCCCACACAACACCTGTCTACCTGTCTGTAAGGAGAGCCCTCCATCCCTATATCTCACAGGCCCATCCTCCCTCCAGGAGGGTTTCTAGAGAGGTGTCCTCTGTGACTGTGGCCTAAGCTTGGGGGACTCTTGTGTTTTGCAGCTGGCTGAGCTGAGAGGGGTCCCTCGTGGCCTGTATGACGGACCCGTGTGTGAGGTGTCTGTGACACCCAAGACAGTCACTCCAGCCTCCTCGGCCAAGACGTCTCCTGCCAAGCAGCAGGCCCCACCTGTCCGGAACCTGCACCAGTCTGGATTCAGTTTGTCTGGTAGGGTTGAGGCTTGGGGAGGGCACAGTTCTGCAGGGCCAGCTCACTGGTGCTGGCGAGGCTACAATTGTATTTGGAAAGGACACAGAAATGGAAGTGAATGATATTCCCTTTCTCCCCAAAGTGGGAAATACAGTGGACTCAGATCACTGGAGATGTATTTTCTTTTTCTTTTATTTGAGACAGGGCCTCACCCTGTCACCCAGACTGGGGTGCAATGGCACGATCTTGGCTCACTGCAACCTCCACCTCCCGGTTCAAGTGATTCTCATGCCTCAGCCTCCCAAGTAGCTGGAATTACAGGCGTAGACCACCATGCCTGGCTAATTTTTGTATTTTTAGTAGAGACGGGGTATCACCATGTTGGCCAGGCTGGTAGAACTCCTGACTTCAGGTGATCTGCCTGCCTCAGCCTCCCAAAGTGCTGGGATTACAAGCATGAGCCACTGTGCCCAGCCCAGCCCGACATGGAGATGTATTTTCATAGTTAATGACTGGTTGGGTTTCAGAATCTTGAGATCAGTTTGTGTCACACAATGCCCATACTGTGTTTTACCTAATATATTAAGAAGACATTTGTTCGATTTGTTAGATCCATTATAAGAAAGGACATTGTGGTATTTCAGGACTTCTCTTCTCTCCTACAGTGTATTGTAGTTTAGCTTGTGGAGTCTGGAGTTTCAACAGCCTAACTTCATAGCTCAGCTCTGGCTGTGCCTCAGTCTCCTCGCCTGTAGAATGGCAATAATAGTAGTTGCTCCCCTCTGGGGGTTGTTGTGAGGGTTAAATGGATTAATATATGTGTACAATGCTTAGAACAGGGCCATTGGAGAACTGTTAATTGCATTTGCTTGGGTAATATGTGTGATATCCCCTTGGTGAGAGGAAAGAGTTCAGATTTTTATGTTTCCTTACTTGAAACTTCCCATCTTTCATTTGGCCGATGACTAGAACATTCCACTCTTCCTGCTCCCTGGGCTACAGATTCCTATGGCATATTAAAGAAATTGTTAAACCAGAGAGAATTTTTTTTCTTGCTGGTTGTACAGGTTTTAAAAAGTTACCTTTATGTACCATATATGGATTACAAATTTTCAAAACATTTAAAAATAACGAACTTTAGTTTGTTGTAAGTAAAATGTGTATAATCACGTCTGTGTTATCTGATCTCTCCAGGCTATTCCAGTATAAGGTGCCATCATTCCTCCTATTTGTGATTGTATGTGTAGGGTTAGGGGATTAGAATGCCAGAAGAAGGCTGTGTCCTCAGAAAAGCCACAGCCAATTTGACTAATCAGAACAGGGGACAGGACAGAGTCTGAGGTGTAGTGATATTTTGTATATAGTTTTACTTTCTCCAGTAATAGATCCAACAGCCTTTATACAGTGTCTGATTCTTTGGCTACCTTAGGCTCATCTCCTTTCTAAAAAGTTTATTTATTTTTATTTTTAGAGATATTAGTACCTCACTGTGTCACCCAGTACCCAGGCTAGAGTGCAGTGGTGCAATCACAGCTCACTGCAGCCTCGACCTCCTGGGCTCAAGTGATCCTCCCAGCTCAGCCTCCCCAGTAGCTGGTACTACTGGCTTGTGCCATCACACCTGGCTAATTTTAAAATTTTTCTGTAGAGATAGGCTCTCACTGTGTTGCCCAGACTGTTCTCAAACTCCTGGACTCAAGCAATCCTCTCACTTCAGCCTCCCAGAGTGCTGTTAGGAGGATTCCAGGCATGAGCCACCATGCCCAGCCTCCACCTCCTTACTGTAGTCTAAACTTCAGTGGGGTTTTAAGAGAAGAACAAAGAATGTGAGGCCGGGCAGTGTGGCTCACACCTGTTATACCAGCATGCTGGGAAGCAGAGGTAGGAGGACTGCCTGAGCCCAGGAGTTTGAGACCAGCTTCAGCAATATAGCAAGACCCCTCTTTACAAAAAATTTAAAAATTAGCTAGGTGTGGGGGCCTGTGGCTGTGGCCCCAGCTTCTTGAGGGGGCTGAGTGGGAGGATGGCTTAAGCCCAGGAGGTTGAGGCTGTGGTGAGCTATGATGGTGCCACTGCACTCTGGTCTAGAAAACAGAGCTAGACCCTGTCTCCAAAAAAAAGAATGCGACTAGCACTTTTCCTCCTGAGCTGTGAGATTTCACCTTCAAGCAGGACCTTGTGTGACTGTCCTGGCCCCTAACCCATTCCTCTCTTCTCTCCCTCCAGGTGCTCAAATTGATGACAACATTCCCCGCCGCACCACCCAGCGTATCGTGGCGCCCCCCGGTGGCCGTGCCAACATCACCAGCCTGGGCTAGAGCTCCTGGGCTGTGCCGTCCACTGGGGACTGGGGATGGGACACCTGAGGACATTCTGAGACTTCTTTCTTCCTTCCCTTTTTTTTTTTTTAAGAGCCTGTGATAGTTACTGTGGAGCAGCCAGTTCATGGGGTCCCCCTTGGGGCCCCACACCCCATCTCTCACCGGGAGTTACTGATTTTGCTCATCCACTTCCTTACACATCTATGAGTATCACACCCAAGCCTACCCACCAAGCTCATACACGGAACCACACCCAACACTCAGACATGCGAACAAGCAGCCCCCAGCGAGGGTCTTCTTCGCCTTCAACCTCCTAGTGTCCGTTAGCATCTTCCTTTTCATGGGGGGAGGGAAGATAAAGTGAATTGCCCAGAGCTGCCTTTTTCTTTTCTTTTTAAAATTTTTAAGAAGTTTTCTTTGTGGGGCTGGGGAGGGGTTGGGGTGGGAAAGAGTCTTTTTTTTTTTTTTTTTTTTAATACTAAATTGGAACATTTAACTCCATATGAATACAAGGGGTTTGAACTGGACATCCTAATGATGCAATTACGTCATCACCCAGCTGATTCTGGGTGGTTGGCAAACTCATCGTGTCCGTCCTGAGAGGCTCCAAAATGCCCACATCACCATTCCGTAGTCTTCAGGGTCAGCTGTTGATAAAGGGGCAGGCTTGCTTTATTGGCCTAGATTTTGCTGCAGATTAAATCCTTTGAGGATTCTTTTCTCTTTTACCATTTTTCTGCGTGCTCTTGCACTCTCTTTCTCTCTCTAGCTTTTTAATTCATGAATATTTTCGTGTCTGTCTCTCTCTCTCTGTGTTTCCTTCAGCCCTCGTCTCGGAGACAGTGTTTTCCTCCCCTGCCCCGTTATCTTTTCACCTCCCAGGTCTACCATTTCATGGTGGTCATGGGGTCTGCCTAAAGGATTTGAGCGTTTGCCATTGCAAGCAGAGTGCTGTGTCATCCTAGTCCATGTGGGACTGGTGCTACCCACCCGCCATCATGAGGACGTGTGCTAGTGTGTGGGGTCCTGGCCAAGTGCAGGAATAGGCCATGCTGTCTCACCCATAGTATCACACGTGGAACCGCAGACAGGGCCCAGAAGCTGAAGAGGTCTGAGGCTGCAGAACCAGAGAGATTTTCCTCTGTGCAGTGCTATCTGGCTAAAGTCACGGTCAAACCTAAACACCAAGCCTCAATAACCCAAGCGAGCCAATCAAAGTCACCAGTTCGGAAGTGCTAAGCTAATAGGAGTCTGACCCGAGGGCCTGCTGCTTCCTGGTTAAGTATCTTTTGAGATTCTAGAACACATGGAAGCTTTTCACTTTTGGGGAAAAACCAGATGTTTTTCTTCTCCAATTATTTCAAAAGACACACTACATAGAAAGAAGCCCTATAAACTCAAAAAATCCTTGGGAAACTTAAAGTCCATTCTACTTTACAAGAGCAATGTGTTTTATGAACAATAGGTTACATCAGAACTACAGTGAGGGGGGGGAACCTTACAAATTGAACACATGGCCCCCTTAGAGACCACAGGTGATGTCCGTCTCCATCTTTCCCTCTCCTTTTCTGTCACCTTTTCCCCTAGCTGGCTCCTTTGGACCCACCCCTGTCCTTGCTGACTTGTGTTGCATTGCATTCCAAATGTGTTTACAGGTTCTCTCAAGCAATGTTGCGTTTGCAGGCTTTTCTAAAAACCAAATCTGCTTTTTGTAAAGCGTAAAAACATCACAAAGTAGTTCATTCCATCACCACCCTTGTCTCTCTACACATTTTGCCTTTGGGGTTCTGGTTGGGGTTTTGGGTTTTTTGTTGTTGTTGTTTATTTGTTATTTTAGAGGTAAATTGCACTTTTGAAAAAATAATTGGTTGACTTAATATATTTGCTTTTTTTTTTCTCACCTGCACTTAGAGGAAATTTGAACAAGTTGGAAAAAAACAATTTTTGTTTCAATTCTAAGAAACACTTGCAGCTCTAGTATTCACTTGAGTCTTCCTGTTTTTCCTGTACCAGGTCATGGTCATTTTTGGTTGTTTTGGTTGTTTTCTTAAAAAACAATTTAAAACCTGAAGATTTCTGCAGGCTGTGTAAGCATGTTTACCTGTTGGCTTGCTTTGTGTGTCTGTTAAATGAATGTCATATGTAAATGCTAAAATAAATCGACAGTGTCTCAGAACTGAATAACTGCAGTGACTTGATGCTCTAAAACAGTGTAGGATTTAAGAATAGATGGTTTTTAATCCTTGAAATTGTGATTGTGACCCATGAGTGGAGGAACTTTCAGTTCTAAAGCTGATAAAGTGTGTAGCCAGAAGAGTACTTTTTTTTTTTCGTAACCACTGTCTTAATGGCAAAATAATTATGGTAAAAAACAAGTCTCGTGTTTATTATTCCTTAAGAACTCTGTGTTATATTACCATGGAACGCCTAATAAAGCAAAATGTGGTTGTTTCAGGGGTGTGTCTGTATTGAGATGTTCGGGAGGCGGCTGTTTGGCTTGGGCCTTCAACCAGACTTTCCCTCCACAAGCATTCACGGAGCCCTCGGCTTCAGTTTCGTGAATATACCAATTCAAGAGTTTTCACTCCATGTCACAGGCTGCTATGTCCGGGCCACGGGATTCTAATTCTCAGCAAAGATGCAGCCTGCGGGTGTGTGGCAAGCCAAGTGTCAGAAATCCAGACACTCCATCCTGGAGAGGCCTCCAGAATCAAGCTGCATACCGAAGCTTGAAACTGGGAATGGGGTGGGACCATATACTTTCATGAGGGTGACCCCTCTGGGCTCTCTGCTTCCTTCCAGCTTGTTTACCCTGGAAAATCCTCCAGCTTGAAAGATAAGAGGCAGGTGTGTTGGCCCTTACCCACACTTTGGTCTGGAAGCTTGTGGGAAACCAGGTTATAAAGGCTTGGTCTTCCACTTTCATGCAAATGTCAAGAATGCACTTTGGCCAGGAGCCCCGCCCACCCCAGCAGGCCAGATGCTTGGTTTCCATGGTTACCCTGATAACTGGCACTCACATTATTGATTTTGAGAACAGTGAATGAAGAGAGTGTGTGCCTTGGGCCCCCCAGGCCCATCATAGGGTTGATGAAGTCATTTAACTTTTTTTCCCTTCCTCCTCTTTTCCCTTCCTCTTCCCCTCTATTTTTTGAGACAGGATTCCACTCTGTTGCCCAGGCTTCAGTGCAGTGGCATGATCTTGGCTCACTGCAACCTTGACCCCTTGGACTCATGCGATCCTTCCAGCTCAGCCTCCTGAGTAGCTGGGACTACAAGTTGCACACCACCATGCTCAGCAATTTTTTGTTTGTTTTTGTTTTGTAGAGACAGGGTTTCACCATATTGCCCAGGCTGGTTTTGAACTCCTGGGCTCAAACAGTTCACCCACCTCGGCCTCCCAAGGTGCTGGGATGATAGGTGTGAGCCACTGCAAACAGCCCATTTTTGTTTTCTGTCTAGCCCTATCCAAACAGGATATGAGGTGATTTATACAAATATATATACAATGCCACAGTTTATCAATAAAAAGTGTTTGGGTGAAGGGAAAATAAGAGCAAGGAAAATAAGATAAGGCCTTGGTGGAGTTAGTGTGCAACACCTGCCATGAGGCTGTAAACTTGTTAGGGAACTCCGAGTGTCCTGGCAACACGTACACAAAAGGGAAGTATGGCCACTTACACACTTACCGTGACCAGAAGGTAAAGAAGATAAATGAGTCCTTCATAAGGCATACAGCAAATCCTGGGTCCTCCCTGGGAACCACAGTGTTGGGCGTCTGGGGCTGGCTCTTACCTGCCTGTCACTGTCACTTCATGCTGATGGCAGAGCACTGTGAACCAGTCAAATCGAGTCTGTCCACACAGAAGGGACAAAAAGTCTCACCTTAACATTGATGGGACCTGGGACAAGAGTTAACATGAAGTCCACAGCCCATCCTCCTATTCTCGTACTGGCTTTATCCCACACCAAGACGGGCCTCATGCCCAGGCCTGCAGACACTGCAGCCCACGTGCCCAAGTTCCGCCCAAGCCCAGCAAACAGCTGCCCTGTGAGGTGTCCATAGCAGCTGTGAGGTCTTCCCTCCAAAGAACAGAGCCAGCACAGAGTCCGTCTTAGGTCCCTTTGAGCAGGGACCTAGGTACCAAAGCTGGCCTGGAAGGGCTCTGGTTGGGAACATCTCACTGACCCTTGGAAACTCCTCACTCTCTGGTGAAAGGCCTGCTGGAGGGGGCCCAGAGAGCGGGCTTCTATAGGTAGACCAGCCTCGAACTCCTGGGCTCAAGGAAGCCTCCCGCCTCAGCCTCTCGGTCTCCAGAATAGCTAGGACTATAGGTGCGTCCACCACCACTCCTGTCATTTTTTTTTTTTTTTTTTTTTTTTTTGGTAGGTTAGAGGTCTCACTCTGTTACCCAGGCTGGTCTTGAACTCCTGTTCTCAAGCTATCCTCCTGCCTTGGCTTCCCACATGTTTTTAATGACTATTCTGCTCTCTCTTAGAAAGCTCCTGTTCAGAAGGGTGTGGGCAAAGGGGATGGGGAGTGTTAGAGAATAAGACCGAGCAGGTAGGCAGGCCCACAGGAGAAAAATGTGGGCAAATGAGAGCTTTGCAGAAAAGAGTACAATGACCTCAGGGAGCCAACACAAATTTGGAAATAGTGAGGCTCTAGATAAGAAGAAATGAAAAAGCCTACAAAATACACAAGAGGAGGAGTCAGGAGAAAAATGGCCTCGAGGAGGACGAGACAGGTAAAGGAAAGCAATAATCTGAGTCCTTTACATTTTTTGTTTTTGTTTTTTGTTGTTGTTTTTTCTTGAGACGGAGTCTTGCTCTGTCACCAAGCTGGAGTGCAGTGGCGCGATCAGCTCACTGCAACCTCTGACTCCTGGGTTCAAGCAACTCTCCTGCCTCAGCCTCCCGAGTAGCTGGGAATAGAGGCGTGTACCACCACGCCCAGCTAATTTTTGTATTTTTAGTAGAGACGAGATTTCACCGTGTTGGCCAGGACGGTCTCCATCTCCTGACCTCGTGTTCCTCCCGCCTTGGCCTCCCAAAGTGCTGGGATTACAGGCGTGAGCCACCGCGCCCGGCCAAGTTATAATTTGTAGGTAAGATCTGAGAAAACTGTGTTGATTTGGCAAAAAAATTACAAATGTGTGTTTATACACAAATGTATATATGTGTATATATGTAATTTTTATAAGGGTCTCAAAAGAGTAAATAAAATAATGTCTGAAAATTCTTTGGGGAGGGAAAAAGGGACCTAGGCATAAATGCGTCATCATTTTACTAAGCCTTGGTATCAAGACAGGGCTGGGGCAGACGAGAAGACAACAGGCAGGTTCTCTGGCAGTGAGGGTCTTGTTGAGGCCATGAGGCATGGGGCCTCCACTCAGGAAAGAACCTGAGGGGCCGGTGGGAGGAGCACTGAGAGGTTGACAAAGACCAAACATAAGGGCTTATAAACTTTCACGATTCAAACAACTTATTACATTGAGGTTATTCACGTGATTAGCTTTGGCAGCTACACCTCATCCCTGCCAGTAACAAATGTCCCTGCACCACACAGGACCATGCCGCCAACCTGGCAGGTGAACAGGAACGTGGTTGGGGTCACAGAGGATGAAGGCGAGGTCTCCCCTAGCCGTGACCTTGCCTAGTACTAGCTTTTTGCAGCTTTATCCTGTGACTCTTGGGACCCCAGGGACCCTGGAAAACCCAGTGTGAACCCCTCAGGAAGAAGTGGGCAGGGAGGGTGGAACTCCCTGTTTCGCTGTCCACAGCTCCTTCAGGATCAATGCCTCCTCCTCGAAGGCCAGATGTGCCGTGGCCTTGACACTGAGGCTTCCCATTACTGGCTGGCATGTCTCTGGATTTTTCCTGTCCCTCCAAAGTTGTCCCTATAAGTCCTCGTTGAGCCTCTCCCCAGGGGACCCAGGGAAGTGGCCTACTGGGTTCAACTTCTCCGTAGGGCTGAGCTCCCTCTGCTGGAGATACGCACCTCTTACCTTTTTTTTTTGTTTGTTTGTTTTGAAACAGGGTCTCTGTCACCCAGGCTGGAGTGCAGTGGCGCGATCTCAGCTCACTGCAACCTACGCCTCCTGAGTTCAAGTAATTCTTCTGCCTCAGCCTTCCAAGTAGCTGGGACTACAGGTGTGCGTCAACATGCCTAATTTCTTTTTCCTTTTTTTTTTTTTTTTTTTTTTAAGGAAAGACAGGGTTTCACCATGTTGGCCAGGCTGGTTTTGAACTCCTGACCTCAAGTGATCCACCTGCCTCAGCCTCCTAAAGTGCTGGGATTACAGGCATGAGCCACTGCCCCCGGCCTCGCCTCTCACCTTTTATTATGGATTCCAGCAGTCAGTGAGGAAAGCACCGCATGCTAGTCCAGGACTGCAACATCTTTTGGTTCCATCCAAGACCCCATCTCTCAGGAGAACAAGGAGAAACTATGAGAATTCATGCCCAGGCCCAACTGCCTAGAGACAGAGAGAAGGGCTCTCAGCCCAGTCCCCGACTCTGGCCACTTTTCTCACCCACTCCCTCCCACTGCGCCCACTTTTGACGTCCTGCACCGCCAGTCTCTTGTCCTCTCAGTCTTCTGGCCTAAGCCTCCCATTAGCCTGTCCTCTGCACCCCACCAGGAGCCCATGGCAGGTGCTTCAACTCTCTCGCACGTTCCCTCAGTTTTCTCGAACCCACGTCTTCCCACTGTGAAACCAAGAGGTGAATCCGACGAGGTGCCCCGCAGTCAGCCTGTCCTGCTTGATTCGGTCACTTGCATATTGTTCCTTTTTTCCACAGGTAGCTGAAGGCTGCACTGCAGAACGCTGGAACTTAATCCTGCTGGCTTCCTTAAGGATAACATTTATATGTCACCATGGTAACGGCCGCTGAAGTTATTTTTCAGGAATCTGGGGCTGCTCCTGTCCAGTTCAAACCAGCCAAAATCACCTACAGACCCTTCAACTGGGCCTCTGCAAGTGCCTGAGAGGTGGCTTTTTGATGTCAGAAGGACAAAAACTCCATCCTCAGATATGCTAACGCCACCATTTCTGAACATGCGTTCAGTGAAGCGCCATGAACCCCAACGACACTTGTGCAGAGCACAATTATTTCATCTCCCCCATTACCAGTCACCTCTGCCTATGCCTTAGACCATCCCACTTCGCTAACCCACACATATCCCTAAGCCTTATTTTGGGGAAGTGGATTTGAGAGCTATTCTCCCGCCTCCTGACCAGGCTGCCTTGTGAATAAATCTTTTCTCCTTTGCCAAACCTGCTGTCACAGTGATTGGTTAACTGCTCAAGGGCAGGACCAACCTGGTCAGTGTCAACTGTACCTGTAGAACAACTCCCCCAGCCATAGCAGGTTGCAGCTCCTGCCTGCTCTGTCTTAATCCAAAGCACTAACTCCAAAGGACAGGGACAGTGCGTACAGCAAAGAACCTT